GAAAGAAAATGTATTGAAAATGATGATGGCAACATAGATACAAATGTGCTTGATACAATGGATGGATGGATGGATGGATTGTGAAAAGGGCTATAAGAGCCCCCAAAAATGATTTAAAGAAAACACTGTACCACAAAGGGAAGAAAACAATATTTGGAGCCAAAGAAATGTTTCTGAAGTTAGTTCCTTCCTGCTTCCTGGCCATCTCACTCCAGGCTTGGAGACATCCATGTTTGGCATGGAGCTGTCTGTGAGCTTGGTAGAGGGGGGTGGGGGGGTTTCACTCTCCTTAGTGGGTCGCTAATTTGTTTAATTGGAAGTCAGCCATCTTCAGAGGGATTGACTCGTGCCATGAAACAGTTGGAACAAAGTGGGCGACTGTGTGTGAGACTACTGAGACGGCACCTTCAGAGGATCGTACGTTCTTGGGCGCAACTGATGGATTCTTGCGTTTACACATTCACCCACACGTACCTCCACATGTTTCTGGGGTGAATCCCTGGAGTTCTGGAAAACTGATCCTACTTTGTTCTGTTTCCTTTAGTCTTGGCTTTTCCTGCATATCTCCTGGGCATCAACCAGGGCCGGTTGAAAGAGAAGCTCACAAGCCGGCAGATGGATAGTAAATGGGGAGGCAAGTCGGAATCCATCCACGTGACTCTCAATGTGGAGCAGGCCTGTTACACCAGGGATGCCCTCGCCAAGGCCCTGCATGCCCGGGTCTTTGATTTCTTGGTAGATGTAAGTAAATTCACCTTCACTTTGCTGACGCTTCCTATTTTAGCTGACGAGCGCAAGTACTAAGAATTGGTTTCCATGCATTCATTCCTTTTAACTCCACTTTTTCCTCTCCCACCACAGGGGCACTGTCACTTTTTCAGCTCCCCACTAAGATATTGTAGCAGAAACAAATATGGGAACAGAGTCTGCTGGACAAAAGTTTAATAAATCCAGGACTAGAAATCCCAAAAAGTAGAGACCGCTTGAGCATTAAGCCTAAAGTCTCAGGAATGTTATGTTTGTTATCTATTGCTGTATTACAAATCAGCCCAAAACTAGGTGGCTTAGGTGAATAAGGGAGAATTGAAGCATTTGAATTGTGGCGCGGATGGAGACCAAAACAAACCTGTCTTGCAAGATGTATAATCAGAAGGTTCCTGAAAGGCAAGGAGTGTGAGCCTCTGTCTCACATACTTTGGACATCTTGTCGAGAGAGATCAGTCCCTGGAGAAGAAGAGGGTCAGTGATAAAGGGAAAGGCCCTCACCGGGATGGATTGACACCGTGGCTGCAACCATGGGTTCAAACATAGGAACACTTGTGAGGATGGTGCAGGGCCAGGCAGGGTTTCTTTCTGCTAGACAGACGGTCGCTAGGGGTCAAAACTGACCTGACAGCGCCTAGCAACAACCCTAATAACTCAAAGCAGTCAGCATATACTCTCCCACAGTTCCTGGAGGGTAGGTGAGCCTCAGTTGTTCTGACTCCGAGTGTACCCCAGAGCTTAGTCAAGATGTTGGCTGAGGCCGCAGTTAGCTCCAGGCCTGCCTGGGATGGGAGGATCCACTTTGAAGATGGTGTGCCCCTGGTGGTGTTGAGAGGACGTCTCGCTTCCTTGCTATGTGGTCCTCGCCCCTAAACAACTTGAGTCTTCTCCCAGTATAGCACCCATCTTCCCTTAGAGTGAGAGGTCTCGGCTTTGT